CGTTCACTTTTATTTCCAGCCCCCCTCCCCTCCTGCACACACTCCAATGTCATGGGCGCTGGAGGGCATTCGAAAAGAGTGTGATAAGATGCATTGTGTAATGATCTGAAAAAATGCAGCGCTATCGCAAAGTGCGGATAGAGCACGTTTCAGTACTAAGGCCAGCAGAAACTCTAGGAAAAATGAAAATTGCTTGTGGATTTTAGAGAGTTTTTCCTTCTTCCTCCTCCCCCTTACCCCCCCCCCCTTCTCCCCCACTGTCAGACGATCAACGGATATGATAACACATGTGAGGGATAACACGATTATTCTAAACTTTTCCAGATAGCACAAACAGAGGCTAGTCTCGTGACCTCTGACATGCTAGACAATGAAACCTGTAGGGATGAGGTAACATTTCAATCTTTCCACGATTACTTTCGTGAATAAGGCAGCGTTCATAGTTCGCGATCGCATATGTGATACGTATTCATGAAGAAAATTTCACGTATTGATTAGGCGATTAGGCGAGTAGACGCGTAGGCCAGAAGAAAAGGATACGTATTGATTTGTTCCCATCGCTCAGATTGCTCGCTCAGTCGCCCACTCGCCTAATCGCATAGTGGTGCCAATTATGAACGGTGCCTATGGTGGACCGCTTTGCAATCACTGATCGTGTGTGATTTTCGAGATACAGAGGCTGAAGCAATGTTGGCACCCGCCGATATGTGTATGTTTATGCCTATCGCTAGTAATCCCCTGAAATGATGTGTCAGTTGAGGTGGCGGAAGTGGTCTGTTCTATTTGAGCAGTACGGTAAATCAGTCATAAGAACGAATACGTTATTCGACGCTCATGTCCTTGGGGGGGGGGACATTCAAAATAAGGTAGTGTGGTTTTGAAATTTCTACAACTTCCCACTCTTTCCTGAGTTATCAGTACGAAGCACCTGTATAAACTATTGGGGTCCTTTTCTATACCTTTATGCCCACCACAGTATGCGCCGTTATCGACATGGAAAGAGGCAGTGGGCCGAGGGAAGCTGAAAGGTCGCGCGCTTTGTCTCGCGCAGAGGAGGGGAATCGCGGCGAATGAGTAATTTCCATCATTTCGAACAGACCTACAGTGGGTCTCTATATGAGCTATTTGTGTCTTTTTCCATATCTTTATCGCGCCGTCATCGACATGGAAAGAGGTGGTGGTTAGTAGGAGCTGAAGGTAGCGCTTTGTAATGCGCTAGGTATGGGAAAATGAGAATTTCAACTTTGAACGAGTAGGCAGAAGCAAATCGCACATATTCCTACGTTCGGAAGTCTACCAAGTCTCCTAGAACTTCCAAATATTCCTTTGCATTACTAACACTGATACCTGCAGTAATTACAAACCTCTTCATTTGAAAAAGTATATCTCTCAGCAATCGCATTCTCAATCGGGGTGGAGTACGAATTTGAAAGCGAAAATGTAGTTGTTGTCTTCTACTGGCGTTTAAACTGTGCGAATGTTTTAGCTGATCGTAAAGAAAAACTTCTCGTTGTCTGAGATTTTTGTGCACATGATAGTTATTTCAACGATCAACTACTTCTCTGAATTTCTTTCTAATAGCTTTCTTTGATAATCAAATTTTTGACATATTCTAAGGCTATTCAGGAACTCAAAAGGAATCGTGATCTTCGGGAAGTTACAAAGTCTTCAGAAGATCGGCTCGTTCAGACAATAATGTGTCGCCGATTTGTTCAGAATGTATTAAGGTCCAGGATCTTTGAGAGGCCGAGTTCTTAATTCAAATCGTTCGTAAATTCTCCCATAGTAAGATTAGTTGCGACTCTAAAGCTGAATACAATACTGCGAACCATAGTTTCAAAAAGGTATATCATTTTTGAATACGCTTTCAAACAGTCCCGCACAATTGTTCGTTTTATTCACTTACTGACGATATTTTTAGCTTAAGGCGCGCCATAGGTTATCTGCTGTACAGTGGCAGTGATCGATGTAACACCATTGATTGGGTGCTCTCCAAAAGTGTGCTGATTTTTCTTTGAGGGCTTCGAGATGATTATTTTTTTTCGAAAGAACTTAATTCGTTCAGAAGATATGGAAGTCGATCGAGAATTCTGTACCTTCTGCTCGCCGCTGCGGTTTGTTCTAGGAGTATGCGGAGTTGCTGCTGGAATGATACGTGATTTTTGACCGCGCTCACGTTAGAATATGTCAGTAAGAAAATGCTGCACTGGGAATGCGCCATGTACTGGTCTTTTTCAAGAGTCGCGGTGACATTTGCGGCTCTGTACTCCTTTGCCACTTTGCCATGCCTTGGATCGTTTAAATTCTGTGACTGGCTCTTGGAATTATGATCCCACTTCCATTGGCTAAATACGACCTATTCGTTGATCTCTGTGCAATGGACGGTGTCCTCAGTCCTTGTAATAGAACGACTTTCTTGCATTCATACTTCATATTCACTGCTTTAAATCAGTTAGAGGGTTTTAGTTGAGGGGTCTGCGATGTTTTGCTTTTTCCTTATCTTCAGGTCACATATTCACTTCGGTTTTGCGTTTGCACGACGTAACCCAATGATTTTAGTGTGAAATATAGCTTTAAATTGCGACAACATTACGAGACAAAGTTCAACTTCAACATTTCAGGACGCTTGTGTAACCAACGTGTTTGAAGGATTCTTGACCATGGGATGTTTTGATTCGGAGAGGCACTGGGATAACATCGCTTTATGCTTCTCAGCTCCCCACAATTCGGTGTCAGCGTGTTCTTACGATCCTGAAGTGAGTTTATAAAGGACTCGAATACTAGAAAATGTTCTAAAAGTTCCTCACACAGACACGAGCTGGATTCAACAGTTGGGGTAAGGGAATGTGTTGCTGTCGAGAGGAAAACTGCAATAAATTGCCTCCCGAATGGGTATGGTGTTTTTTAATTTACTGACTGTTAGATACTTTTTACCTACATATTTATTACAGAATTAGGAAATCAAACAGGGTGTCTCAGCTTATTCTTTTATGTCTAATATCTAATCGAGCTTTACTGAAAAGTTTGAAAGGTATAGGCAGTGACTTCTGGAAACCAACTGCTGCTGCTTTCTCTCCCAGACAGAGCTGTACATTTTTGGAAGCGTCGGAGAATTAACAGAATTAGGAATCAGAAATAGAAAAAAATCCTCCAACCGAACATGGCAGTAGGAAGCGCCTCGTGGTTCAGAGGTGAAGTAGTGGCTGCAGGGGCTGCTACCACCACACGATCCAGATCAAATCTCGATCGAATATGGCTAACATAACTATGGATAGCCAACTCTTCAAATGTAATTATTGGAAAAGGTTGCTGCCAGGCAGGGAAAGTAATCTTCTTCAAAAAGGAATCCCAGTCTAACCAGGAAAACAACTTCCCATGAAACGTTGAATTGAGACTTACCAGGAAAGGCATTCAACTTCCCATGGAACTTTGAGTTGAGACCCAGATATATCGATAGAGCTTCAAACGCTGATTACAAATATGGAAACTAAAACTGCAAAATGAACCTGCCAAGGAAGTTGTGAGCAGTCAAAGTTGGCTGGAAGTAAAGCATTACACTAGCGTCCAGGCTTTTCAAAGTCGCCGTGGAGTAGTGGTAGTGCTCTCGAATTTGCACTCCAAGGGAAGAGAACTCATGACCTGCAGGCTGGAGAGCGAGAGCACTACCACTGCTCCGCGGCGACTCTGAAAGCCTAGCAGGTTCATATGTAATGCTTTACTTCCAGCCAACTTTGACTGCTCACAACTTCCTTGGCAGGTTCATTTTGCAGTTTTAGTTTCCATTTGTAATCAGCGTTTGAAGCTCTATCGATATATCTGGGTCTTAATTCAAAGTTCCATGGGAAGTTGAATGCTTTCCTTGGTTAGGCGAACGGTAGACCCTGAGGTTATAAATATGAAGTTCAAAACTGCTATATAAACCTGCGAGAGAAGTTGTGAGTGATCGAACCTATCCAAGGTTCTAATCTCTGCAATGAACATTCTATGAGGGCCTTCTGGTGCCGGATGGCGCCAGTGCGAAGAATAGGTGTCAGACAAATTAGTAATCGGGGCAGTCGGTATC